TGGTGACAGCAGCAACAATCCACCTGTCACTCAAGTGCCCACGCCTTTAATTATGCAGAACTTTAAGGCTTAATATAATTTAAACAGATGAGTTATAAAAAAAAATTTTACCCCCCTCACAGTTGTCATGAAGGGCAAAATTAGCTATATAGTCCAAAATCCTTTTTTGAACCAGGCTGTAAACATGTTTTTTTCTGCTGTAAAGTTGAGCATTTTAACATGGGGAGTCTATGGCAGGGATCCTCAAATCTGGCCCACGAGATCCACTTTCCTGCAGAGTTTAGCTCTAACCCTAATCAAACACACCTGAGCATGCTAATCAATGTCTTCAGGATCATTAGAAAATCACAGGTAGGTGAGTTTGATCAGGGTTGGAGCTAAACTCTGCAGCACATTGGCTCTCCAGGGCAAGATTTGAGGAACCCTGCTCTAAGATTTCTCCCAATTCCTGAGTAAATGTTGGTCTCAGCAGCTTTGTGAATAGGTTTTAGGAGGAATCTCTTCACGAGAGAGACCGGAAGGTTGCCGCTTGGTTTTATTGCTTTACTGATGCGGATCTGGGTTTGTACCGTAAGGTAAACTCATATTACGATTATTCCATGTAAACACCACATTTACCAGCTTAGTCACAGTGAAAACTTTAAAGATGTGTAGTGCTTAAAGCCACGTTAAAATTAAATTAAAATTAAGTTAAAATTAACAGCCATATGAAGCTGTTATTGAGGATTTTCTAGAAGCAAGGATAATAACATTTTGTGTACCCTCCCTAACTAAATGATAGCTCAGATGTGGTACTCCATTCACTAAAATAAGTTCAAACTTACCATACAAACTTGCTCACTCTGCTGTTATTTAATAGATTAAATGCACTAGAATAGTACTGTCACACTACTGCTGCTACTGTGATGGAGCGAGGAGTGAAGGAGCAAGGAGACGTAGGAAAATTCTGGAAACAGTCTTTATTAAACCAAACCAAACCAAACCAAACCAACGCACACGTAGCAGAGAAGATAGATGAACAACACCGGACGCTAGACACGGAGAAACACAGGGCTTAAAAACTTAGAAACAAACGAGACACACCTGGAATAAATCACATCATAAACATAGGAAACACCTGGGACAAATTAACATAATCAGACATGGGAGAAACTAGATCATGGGGCACAATAAAGACAGGAGCACAGGACTGACAAAGTACAATTTAAAGTTTTGTACATTTGTACTGTTACTCAAATATGAAAAGTACAACTACTTGGACTTTTAACTGAGTACAATTTTCAATGAGTATCTGCACT